AGCCTTAGAGACATATATTAATAGGAGAGAATACCACCTACCATCCTTGACACTTTAAAAGAAAACCCAGGACCACATACCCTAGAAGAGAAAATTGTTGACATAGAAAGTACACAACTCAGAGCATTCTAAAGGAAAGAATTTCTACCAGTGTAAAAGATAGCCTTAAAAGAAAATATGTCAGCCATAATACTACCTGGAAAAGAGGACCTTTTTTGGACCTTATTGGAGCACATTCAATCTTAATTAATTGGTATGCTGGTCATCCTGGACTAGCATATACTCCTTCAGCTTAATTGGCCAGGTGTATTTCTATATTACCTTCTCTTTCCTCCTCCCTTCCCCCCACCTTCTCCACAACTGGGATTCTATAAAGGGCTAGTGTAGAGCTCTCTAAAGAGAGTACAAAGCCATGAAAGTGGTTGAAAAGCAACAAAGCTTTGGAAGATAAAGAGGCTTTTAGGTCACCCCCAAAGCTTTAGAAAATGCCAGGGAAGAGGGCACCAGGCTTAACACAGAAGTTGTTGGTTTCACACAGGCCAACTTCTCAATATGTTTTTGTTTAACCCCAGCAAGACACATGGACCTAAATTAGCTTTCAAATCACACTTGCCTTTTGTGAAGACAAGTCACAAATCACAGAGCATGTAACACACTTTTACTTGCACTGACATCTAAAGGAGACATGGGCTGCTGTGACTGGTGATGAAACCAATACTTCCTATTTAAGGGGAAGGCACAGACTGTCAAGTCTCACAGCCAGGGAATCAGAGAAGATATGTTCTGTATGGCTTGAAAATCACTTTTTTTTTTTGCATTGGAAAAGCTTCTGTTACTGCCATCAAATGCTTTGAAAATGGAACTGCCTCTAAAAGGGAAACAAACTAAGAGTCCTTTACAACCCCAAATCTTTTCACTTGCCTTTGTTTGGCGTCATCTAATAGCCAAGCCATTTCTTCACATTATGTTAAAAAAATAACCAAATAGGAAAAAAATTTAAGGCTTAATCCATATCTACTTTTTGTTTATAATTGTCTATATAAAAACTCATGTCTAGATTTGGCACTTAGAAGAAAGTAACCAGATTTGGCTGCAATCACATCTGCTTGTATCATACATAGAATTCTGGGAGGGTGAGGCCTGAGGGTGGGGGAGAGATTTGGTACAACAGATATCATTAAATCATATACTTTGGAAACTGAGAGAGAAAGTGAGAACAATCTTCCTAGGAAGAAACCAATCTGAAGTATAGTATACCCCTTTTGAGACAAGTATTTTTTTTCTTACAGGAAATTTACTTTTCCCTAC